AGCGACACTGTGAGTAAAATGTGCATTAATTATTAGCAAATACGCGTGTAAACACTGTTACAAACGCACTTCTATGTCCGAGATTAGTCATACTGAGTTAACCGTGGTGTTTGTACGGTACTTCGTGAACCGCTGATGCACTGCTGTGTGTGTTTACCGTTAGCTAGCGGCTAAGCTAGCGGGACGCTACGGAGCCCAGCTATCCGCCCTCTGAAGCTTTTAGGGCCGACAGGGGGAGGACAATACAACGCTGTGTGTATTTATCGCTAAGCTAGCTGGACGCTACGGTTCAGGTATCCGTCCTCTGAGGCATTTATGGCGGACAGGTTGAGGAGGATGTCCCGCTCCTGTGTGTGTGTGTGTGTAACGGAGCTCAGATGAGAGGGCTCTGATTACAGTTGTACTCCTCTGTCAAACTGCATGTTTTCTGCCATATTTGATGAGAGATAAAATGATTTTCTGCCATAAGTTCTTAATGACATTGGTACTGTTGGACTCAGTACTCGTTGGACTTCTACCACAAGTAGCCTACAATGAAGTACTTTTACTGTGTACTTGTAAAGTATTCCTCTGTCAAACTCCTGAGTACAATAATAAATGTTTTCTGCCATATTTGATGAGAGATAAAATGATTTTCTGCCACAGGAGTTTGACAGAGAATAACTGAAAAAGTACACAGTAAAATAACTCATGGCCACTGAGTACCTGGAGTGATGCAAGAAGAAGGTCGGCGGGTGGTCACAGGGCATCAATAATGATAATGATGATAATAATAATATCTCACAGCAGCACTTCTCTCCTCCTCCCTCCTTCCTTTTCTCCTCAGGAGGAGATGCAGGGTCCTGATGGCCAGCCAGGATACCAGCATGTCCTGAAGCTGGCCAAGGCCCTGCTGGAAGCCAGGAGCCTTCAGGGGCTTTCTGACAAGAGGGTGGACGAACTCATGGCCCTCTGGCAACGCCTGCCCGAGCCGGACAGGCGACGAGTCGTCTACCCTCCCAGACACCGGGAGAGGCAGCCGAAGGGGCGGTTCAAGACAGCGAAGGGGAAGAACACCTCCTGTCCTGGGAAGGAGAGTCTCCAACGGTAAGACTCGCTTCAAATATTCCTGTTTCCTGTACTAAATATTTGCTGCGTATTAACCCTCACTGTCCTCTCTGTGACTCAGCTGTCTTCTCGGGCCCTGCAACATGGCCCAGCGCCAGCCGCCTGGGAGAGGCCATTTGCAGCCAGCTCTGCCGTCTCACGAGGACTCGGTGGTCCCTCATCCTCACGGACTACGTGGCCGTTAGAGAGGCAGTGCTGGCCAGCCCGAGGTTGATGGCTCAGACCGAAATACAGCTCTTTGAGCTCAACCCGAGGACCCTGTCCCAGTGGTGAGTTTAACCTGCAGCTTTGTTGGTGGTTTTCTAATCCGTACTGGGGTTTCTCTTTCCGTAACAAAATCTGCCTGGGTTTGTCTTTCAGGTTCTCTCGGCGCCAGAAAGAGAGGGGGGTGTCTGTGCTACTGCAGGGAACTGGCGTCTTCCCTGCAGTAGCTGTGGCTGTCCAGCCTTTCCCGCCAGCAAAAGGGGGGGGGGGGGGAATGATGCCACTTTTTTTCTTTAATTGTCTTTTATCTTTATTTATTTGAATCTATTTTAAAATAAAACTCTGAACTGAACTTTGTGTGGAAACTTTATTTATAATTCATTACACAACGTCTGATATTTCACTGCAACACGGGTCCATAAAACACAACATGGTGTATAAACAAGCACAGTAGAGATGATGAGATGATACACACACACACACACACACACATATATATATATATATTGCATCATAATACAGCTCTGTAGTACAAACCTTTCTTGAATCAAATCAGTTTTATTGATTCAGATGTTATCTCACAGCACTTTACAGATACCATACCGTAGTCTTTGTAGTTTATTACAATGATCATCATTTACCAAAAACCCCTGTTTCAGAGTCACTATGTGTCAGTCAGTGCTGGCTCTCATGGCTGCTCCTCCTCCTCCTCGAACTCAGATCCAGAGAGCAATTTACAACCAAAGACTGAGGACGACACTGGAGACTCTTCTGAACACACTGATGACTCTTCTGAACACAGTGCTGATTGGAAGGAGACCAGAGAACCTGCCTCAGGCTCAAAGTCACTGAAAAATAGACAAGAATCTGTCAGTGATCCACGACGTAGTGCTGAAAAGAAACCACTCAGCTGCTCAGTCTGTAAGAAAGCTTTTAGATATAGAAGAGATCTAAATCCACACAGGAGAGAAACCCTTTGGCTGCTCAGTTTGTGAGAAATTTGTGAATTTTTCACAGAACATACATTTATATATTTATAATTTATACCAGAGGTGGGGACTCGAGTCACATGACTTGAGACTTGCTTGACTAACATTGATAAAAGACTTGACTTGACTTTGACTTGGTATTCATGACTTGAGACTTGACTTAAGCTTGAGACAGATGACTTGAAAGGACTTGACTGTTTAAAATTAAATATTTGCGTTTGTTTTTGTAGTGAGATATTACGTTTAGTTTTTTCGAAAAACGTGATTGGGTGATTATAGCGCCGTGCGCGCAAACCTGGCAACCCACTAGACTAGGAGTGGCAGCGGCTGGCGTTACTCCAAAAATAGTGAAGTTTGGATTCAAGGATTATGTTGTCGATGACGCTAATAAGAAGAGAACAGCGGTATGCAGGGTCTGCAGCATAAAGATCAGTGACACGACCACCACAACATCCAACTTCATTCGTCACTACAAAAAAACCCACAGAGAAAGGTGCGTGAATGTGTTGTTAGCTAGAAAGCTAACGTTAAATTTAAGCTACGTTAGACTTGGTTTCAAATCGATTAAGCATTGCAAAGAGAAGACAAAACGGTAAATGAACACTAGAACCGCCAAGGGATTCATTTTGACTAACCCTGATACTGACGGGCTGTCAGGAGAGAGCGAGAGAGAGAGAGGAAAAGAGATGCCTCGTTTATTTCCCCTGTGTTATCAGAAGTTACTGTAAACTGTTGAATAATGTAGTTCATCTACTTTTAGTAGTTTGTTTAAATGTTTTAATTATGTTGTTTTTGTTTGTAGAAGTGCATCATTCTTTGATTTATTGTAAAATGAATCTGAACTTTTGATCTGTTATGATGATAAACTGAAGCCATTTCAAAATTAACCCAATTAAGTGAGTTTTAAATCGTCCTACTTAGTTTATAAGGAAATAATGAAGAGGAACAAATTCAATGATTTGAAAATGATATCTATGTAGGTGCTGACGCTGTTGGCGGTTCTAGTGTTAACAGAAATTTAAATTAAATATGTGTAATGGCAAATGCCATATATGATTTTCTTACCTGGAATTCTGCCTTTTTGAACAGACTTTTTGATTGAGTCCTAGCTGTCTGCAGTTCTAGGGTTAATATGAATCTAATATGATTGTCATCGGTCTAAATTAGATTTCAAATGATTAACTGTGTATGTAATGAAGATCATAGTGTGGGTTAAATCCATTTTCATAACCACTGTCTTTTAACTGATTTAAATGCGGAAACTGGGCTTATTCATCAGAATTTCGTATGACTTGACTTGACTTGACTTGACTTGACCTGAGCAATGACTTGACTTGACTTGCTTGACTCTCACCACAGTGACTTGGGACTTGCTTGATACTTGTAGGTCAAGACTTGAGACTTGCTCATGACTTGCACATGTAGGACTTACTCCCACCTCTGATTTATACCCTTTAATTTAAACCCCCTGTTTTAGAGTCACTATGTGTCAGTCAGTGCTGGCTGTCATGGCTGAGAGGGGAGCTCTTCCTCATCTCTGCCACAGCTGGGGATCGAACCGCGGACCCACTTTCACTTTTTTATTTATTTTTTCACTTTTTGGGCCCCCTTTCCTCTCCTTGCCCCCCTGCTTTCACAGAGAAGAATGGGCAGTATCCTACTGTGAGTCAAATGTGCATTAATTGTTAGCAAATACGCGTGTAAAAACTGTTACAAACGCACTTTTATGTCCGACATTAGTCATAGGCCTACTTCTGAGCTAACCGTGCTGTGTGTACGGTACTTTGTGAAACGCTGATGAAGTAATCGATGTTAGTACAACGGAGCTTTACGAGCTCTACACTTGGAAACACTTGGACTGCGCCAGGTCACGGAGGTGGAAGTGTTTAAGGGATCATGCTGGTGCTCAGGAGTCCGCCCTCTGATGCATTTAGTGCTGACAGGGTGAGGAGGATGTCCCGCTCCGCTGTGTGTGTTTCCCTGGATGCTGCAGAGAGCCATGTGAGCGGGACGTTACGGAGCTCAGGTATCCGCTCTCTGATGCACAGCGGAGCGGGACATCCTCCTCAACCTGTCAGCCCTAAATGCATCAGAGGGCGGAGGACTCCTGAGCTCCGTAACGTCCCGCTAAAGTGGCACTTTAGACTCTGTGCAGCATCCAGATTTCTAAACCTCTCAGGTCTGTATTTACTGTGATCAGATGCTGCTCTGTTTACATGCACAGATGACTCCTGTTAGATGAAATCCTGCTTATTGTAATAACAGAAATGTGAGATGCAAACAGAAGAAGTCATGAAGGCACAGAGCTCAGAGGTGGTGTCTCTCCTCCACAAGTTAAAAGCATAACCCACTACTCGAAGTGAAACTAGTGAACTAAATGTTTAAGTGTTATAAAGAAAGGCAGAGGAGTGAAGAGGAGCAGAGTGCAGAGGAGATCAGAGCAGGCTCTGCAGCCGCAGTACCACATGCGGCCATGGGGGCGCTGTTTCACCCCAAATCATCCCAAATCATATTAAATCATATCAAATCTTTAAAAAATCATATTAAATCATAGAAAAGAGCTACAGGAAGGAAACAATAAGGAACGCTTCACGAATTTGCGTGTCATCCTTGCGCTACCGGTGAGATGTTCTTCTCTGTTCCAATGTTCCAATTTCTGACCAATGGCTGTCCAGGCTTGTTCCATAACTCGCCCAATAGGGAGGCCGGATATGTTCCATAAGAGAGAATCAAACTTTTGGGGCTTTTGGCGTCCAATCGGTGAGGCGGATTTGTTCCATAATTCTCAGCAATCTCTCCTCCGTCCGCCATTGTTTTTTCACACTGACTGACTTCAACAAAGCGACACTGTGAGTAAAATGTGCATTAATTATTAGCAAATACGGGTGTAAACACTGTTACAAACGCACTTCTATGTCCGAGATTAGTCATACTGAGTTAACCGTGGTGTTTGTGCGGTACTTTGTGAACCGCTGATGCACTGCTGTGTGTGTTTACCTTTAGCTAGCGGCTAAGCTAGCGGGACGCTACGGAGCCCAGCTATCCGCCCTCTGAAGCGTTTAGGGCCGACAGGGGGAGGACAGTGTCCCGCTAACGCTGTGTGTGTGTGTTTCACATTAGCGGGATGCTACGGAGCTCAGGTATCCGCACTCTGAAGCTTTTAGGGACGACAGGGGGAGGACAATACAACGCTGTGTGTATTTATCGCTAAGCTAGCGGCTAAGCTAGCTGGACGCTACGGTTCAGGTATCCGTCCTCTGAGGCATTTATGGCGGACAGGTTGAGGAGGATGTCCCGCTCCTGTGTGTGTGTAACGGAGCTCAGATGAGAGGGCTCTGATTACAGTTTTAATCCTCTGTTAATCCGCATGTTTTCTGCCATATTTGATGAGAGATAAAATGATTTTCTGCCACAGGAGTTTGACAGAGAATAACTGAAAAAGTACACAGTAAAATAACTCATGGCCACTGAGTACCTGGAGTGCTGATGAACACAGATTCTGTGTTCAATAGAGAGTGCATTAATAATAATAATAATAATAATAATAATAATAATAATATGTATTCAAGACTCTTTGCTCACAGCAGCATTTCTCTCCTCCTCCCTCCTTCCTTTTCTCCTCAGGAGGAGATGCAGGGTCCTGATGGCCAGCCAGGATACCAGCATGTCCTGAAGCTGGCCAAGGCCCTGCTGGAAGCCAGGAGCCTTCAGGGGCTTTCTGACAAGAGGGTGGACGAACTCATGGCCCTCTGGCAACGCCTGCACGAGCCGGACAGGCGACGAGTCGTCTACCCTCCCAGACACCGGGAGAGGCAGCTGAAGGGGAAAGAACACCTCCTGTCCTGGGAAGGAGAGTCTCCAACGGTAAGACTTGCTTCAAATATTCCTGTTTCCTGTACTAAATATTGGCTGCGTATTAACCCTCACTATCCTCTCCGTGACTCAGCTGTCTTCTCGGGTTTGTCTTACAGGTTCTCTCGGCAGTACAGGTGGGACAAGGACAGCCCTTCAATTACAACATCCCGGAGGCGCCGGGACCTTCAGGGGTGGGTCTGCCTGCCTCATCTGGCCACATCCCCCCTCCTCCTCCCCCTCCTCCTCCCCCTCCTCAGACACTGCTCCCGGATGTCCCTCTCATGGCTGCCTCTGCTGCTCAGCCTCCTCCTCTTCGTGTGCCCAGGACAACAGCCTACAGGAAGAGGAAGGCGGCGGAGGCTGATGCTGCAAGGGGCGGGCCGTCGCCCGGGAGCAGACAGGTCAGTACACCTGCAGCAAGTGTGGCCAGGCCAAGAGGATCAACACTGACCACACTCGCATTGCAGGTGTGTCTTACTGTGCGGCTGCCGGTGGGAAAACTGGCGGGAGGAGATGAAAAGACTCAAAAGGGACCCAGAGGGTGGGGGGGAATGATAGCACTTTTTTCTTTAATTCTCTTTTATCTTTATTTATTTGAATCTCTATTTTAAAATAAAACTCTGAACTGAACTTTGTGTGGAAACTTTATTTAGAATTCATTACACAACGTCTGATATTTCACTGCAACACGGGTCCATAAAACACAACATGGTGCATAAATAAGCACAGTAGAGATGATGAGATGGTATACCGTAGTATTTGTAGTTTATTACAATCATCATCATTTACCAAAACCCCCTGTTTCAGAGTCACTATGTGTCAGTCAGTGATGGCTCTCATGGCTGCTCCTCCTCCTCCTCCTCCTCCTCCTCCTCCTCGAACTCAGATCCAGAGAGCAGTTTACAACCAAAGACTGAGGACGACACTGGAGACTCTTCTGAACCTGACGCTGAACACAGTGCTGATTGGAAGGAGACCAGAGAACCTGCCTCAGGCTCAAAGTCACTGAAAAATAGACAAGAATCTGTCAGTGATCCACGACGTAGTGCTGGAAAGAAACCACTCAGCTGCTCAGTCTGTAAGAAAGCTTTTAGACATAGAAGAGATCTAAATCCACACAGGAGAGAAACCCTTTGGCTGCTCAGTCTGTGAGAAATTTGTGAATTTTTCACAGAATATACATTTATATATTTATACTTTATACCCTTTAATTTAAACCCCCTGTTTTAGAGTCACTATGTGTCAGTCAGTGCTGGCTGTCATCATCTCTTCAGCTCTTCCTCATGTCTGCCACAGCTGGGGATCGAACCGCGGACCTTCCGCTCCCCACATTTTTTTTTTTTTTTTTCACTTTTTGGGCCCCCTTTCCTTTCCTTGCCCCCCTGCTTCGTAGAGAAGAATGGGCAGTATCCTTTGCGCAGGGGCCATGCTAATCTTCTCTGTATCGTTCCAATTTTAGTATATGTGCTACCGAAGTAACACAATATAACTAAGAATCTGGGGAGAATATATACCTCTCTGACCTGGGAGCAGCCTCTGCTCTGGTCCCAGGACACCTGGAGGCTCAGAGGAGGAAAACCCTGCTTTAAAAGGCTCTATATGTGCAGAATTACATGTGTTAATGTGTGATTGTGACCCCTCAGGAACTCAAGTGACCCCCCAGGACTTAAAGTGGCCCCCCAGGACCGGCAGACCCACTTCAGGTTCTGCTGAGGAACCGCTAGGGCATGTGGGTAAAGCATGCAAAGAGCTGATACGTCACACGGGCCAGGATTGGTCGACTGGAGACGAGAGGACAAAAGATCTGGCCGCTCCTCCCCCTCTGGCATTCCTCCCAGACGCCCTTTGACCCCCCCTCAGGACCCAGAGAGGGAGAGGGAAGAGGGGGGAGACAAAGAGAGGGACACCGGGTAGGGGGGGGGGAAACCCAACTCCAAAAACCTTCCCCCTACCACGTCATACGTCTTTGTGTGTTTCCCTTCAATTTGTGACTTGAAGTGCCGCTCTGCACCAAATACTGGGGACAGGAAGTTATAATAACCCTCCCCGACTAAAAGCTGTACTAATGGACCATGTGCAACACTGTCTGTGTCCCCCCCTGAAACACACTGTGCACAAAGTGGTTCCTTGCAACATTGACAAGTAGTAAACTGAGTAAGACAACGCAGACATGTTCTGTGTGTTTACAGGATCTGCAGCTCATAAACCGCAGATTTCAAGAGGTTTACTGAAAAGGAAACGCCACTAAACACAGTTCCTGTTTCTTCCGGAGAGGAGGGGGGTTTGTTTGTCCCTCAGCGTAAAGAAGGAGCTTCATTCAGCTGAGAGACTGCAGACGGAGGTCATGGAGGAGGAGGGGAGTGTGGGTTGTTGTTTGAAATAGGTCAGCACTCACACTTGCCGCACTCGTCTTCTGTTCCTCCTCTCTTCTGTTCCTCATCAGATCCTCAGACTCTAGTCTCAGCTCTAGGAGAGACATTGCAGTCAGACAGACGCTGTGTGGAGGAATCAGCCTGCAGACAGAAGAGGAAACAACACATGCTGCAGGACAGGCTTTACAAGAGAAAGAAAATACCTCATTGTTTACTTTCCACATGCAAAAGGGAGTAGTGGTCTGCATGTGAACAATGTGCTGTAAAAGGGTTCAATAAAACACATCATATCCAAATCATATTTACACACCATAGAAGCTATAATAAAGGAGCAAGGAGACACCAAAGGGAGAGCTATCGACAAACTCATTTCCAGTCAAACTATCAGCAGAAAAACCCAGAACATTTCAGAGTCAAGTTGTTTTGAACAATCCTGGACTCATTTACTTTAGCTGGAATGGACCCTCAGTCTTTGTTGGAGCAACATGTATTTTATCTGTTCTTAATCAACACATTCATTCTGTGTCTGCATTACTCCTCTATGGAGTAAATAGAACTAGAAAATGCATTTCCTGCAGAAAATGCGTGCGAATGCTGTAAACTGTGAACATTTGTGGCTGAATTTAGCTGAAAATGCAGAAAAAGCTGAATATGTTATTAGCTGAATGGTAGCTGCTTTTAGCTACAAAAATGCAGAAAAAGCTTAATATTTAAAAGAAAAGGTTTTAAAAAAGGTATAAACAACAACAGCAAACTTTTGAACTAACTTGATCGCCCTCTCTCTCTCCTCTTGATCGCCCTCTCTCTCTTCTCCTGATCACCCTCTCTCTCTTCTCTTGATCGCCCTCTCTCTCTTCTCTTGATCGCCCTCTCTCTCTCCTCTTGATCGCCCTCTCTCACCTGTGTGTGTAAACCCAGAGATGAAAGGTTACCATGGTGACGACTTATGACGATTTACCAACTGCAGCACTGAGTCCCATTAAGAATGCATTGAGGATTATATCTGACAATTTTGCCACCTGTTCAAAAACTATGGCTCCTATCAAAAAATGACCACACCGTGAGCATCAGGGAACCCCAATGAACCAACCAATATGTTGTTTTTTTGGTTTTGTGTGTAAAATGTGGAGATGGGAGCAGTTTGTCTAAAGTGTACTTCTCTCTGTTCTGAAGAAAGTTCCGGAAAGATTTAACATGGGAATCAATTGGGAGCTAGGTGGACTTTTTGTCTCTTCATGCCCTCAAGAGGCATTTCGTTTAATATGTCTTCTTAATTTTTTTTTATTTTCCAACCTAGGAGAGGTTTTCCTACGTTTTCATGAAAAAATATGTCTGAGGAGTGTAGGGTTTGGGAATTATGGCAAGTTTAAAACATTTTTTGGGGAGAATTTGAAGCACCCCTCCACTCTGTTTTGAGATCAAAGCACTCTAGACTTAACGAGCTGCTCCATCCACACTAATGTTAAAATCTGAAAAAGGCCTCTCTACCAAGCTCCAAACAAAGTTAATTATCTCAAAAAGTGTCAATCAAAATCAATTTTGAATAGCTGAAGGTCTTGTGATCATTTGAAAGTTGGAATGAGGTCTCTAGCTGAAAGTATGTGGAAGGAGTAGCATTTGGTGCAAAGCGTAGGAAAAGAGGATTTGAAGGCATCTCCCATTGACTTCCATGTTAAAAAAAGAGTTTAAAAAGCTGAATATTTCAAAAAGTATAACATATTTTTAAAAATGTGAAGGTTTCCCATCGATTCCTGAACAGGCTGAATTGTTTAATATTCGAATGGTTTCTGTAGCTGAAATAAGCTGAAGTTATGGAGAGCCAAAGTATGGTTGAAATAATAAGGGGAAGAATAAAGAATCAAAGTACTATAGTGGAATGCTGTGGCACAGCATTCGCACTAATTAAAAAGTAGGAGAGTTAGTGCAACGTAGCCTTTGCTAACGTTAGCATTCCCCTGCCAGTTCTGTAGTATTCCAATACATCAGGAAAAGACACATCAAAACAATTGGCGTTAGGAACATAAAAAATACAAAATAAAACAACTCAGGAATTAAGGTGTTGTAAAACTGTTGGGCTTTTTTAAACTTTTGGTATAATTTCATGTCATTAAGAAAACCACTTAATACTGGGGATGTTTTAAGAAAGCGACATTTGTGTTTGAAATAATTTGCCAATTCTTATCTCTGTTTTTTTGTTTTCAAATTGAAGGCTGAATGTTATCTTGTCACATGTTGAGACTGGGCTGTTCTGCTCATTATAAGTGAACCAACACATCCCAACATGTTTGAACTACAACGCAGTGTACGGCCTCAAAAGTTAAGTTATAAGTTAGCAAAATCAATCAAAAGTAAGTAAATTATTCTTGATAGTTGAATATACTTTAAGAAACAAACAGCCTTCATCTCAGCTCTCCAGAGGCTTTACTTTATTTAGTGTTTTCAGCTCATTCCTTCAAACAGAAGCCTCAGATTACTTATAATAAGGGGAAATATTCAGGGTACATTTCACGCTTGTTATGCAGATAAGTTATTGGGCTTTTTTTATAAAATAAGATTTGTTAGAACATGTTTTAATTGACTGAATTTATTTGAAAAGTGGTCTTATCAACACGTGAATACTACTGTGTAATATCTGTTTACATATATATCTAAGAAGTACAATATAAGACAAGCACAGGTTTCATGTGTGGGCCGTATCACATTATACTTTTAGAATCTGCTCCCCTCTGATTTAGATATATACGGATGTATTTCCTTTCTATTGTGGATTTGTAAATACATGCTGCTAATAATCATTTGTATTATATTTGTATCTTTTAAAACATTTCTAACTCGTGTAATGCTTGCTGCTGCTGCTGCAACTAAATCATTTCATAATTTTGGGGGCAATAAAGTATCAACACAAACAGAGCAGTGCCGTTCCACAGTCTGACCAGCAGGTGGCAGGCTGTGCCCACTAGAGAGGGAATCATGGAAAACACCGTAGAAACACTTTAGAAATGTCACAACTCAGCAATAACATACCTGCCAACCCTACCGATTTGGGCGGTAGTCTACCGCTTTTGACATGTTTCTACCGCCTACCGACTAGCTGACTCTCCCTACCGATTTTCAATCTTCCCAAACTATAACAAATAAAAATGACACTACATAGACACTGGACTCGACTTTTGGCGGACACCGTTTTGCAGCGTGTCTGTGATCCCATCATACAAACAGTCCTCTGTGTTTCAGTCGATCGCGAGATGTGTCTAAAAA